AAAAAAAAAAAAAAAACCAATCATTCAACCTATAATTTGAAATTGGTTTTGTCTGTTAAGTTCTTCGTATTATTCATGTGAGATAACAGATCAAACTTTTTAATTCTATACTCTATACATCCTAAAGTCTAGAATTTAAGAGTCATAAAGGCTAAGTAAACTATTACACTTTTATTACACGAAAAATCATTTTTATTCATTGGATTTACAAATTACTATTTTCCTAAAATAAAATAAATGTTTTTGTTGATAATATGTTAATTTTATATTCGTTTACTACTTTATTTTGTATGAACTATTTAATTGCTATTTTAATTATGCATATCTGATATATCTGTTATAAGTGTTAGGGAACAAATTACGAAAAATATTTTCTTCTGATGTTATTACGATTTCAAAGTATTCTTTCATTAATACCTGATATATAAAACATAATTTAAATTTGAAATTGATTGATAGTAAATAATGAACGAAAAATAAGTATTTAGGGAACAGTGCCGAGATTTAAGCAATAGAGCAATAAATATAATTTTGGAATTTTTTTCGTACCATTATTTTGGTCATTATTATGATACTCGTATTATATTATTTATATGTCAGATAATAATATTTGAAAGAACAAGGAAATCGTGTTTAATGATCAAAAACGTTTTCTTGGCATTATTCTTAAACCATTATAAAGCTATATAGAACTGTTTTGGTGGTAGTATGTGGTTGGTCATAGTAGGCATAATAATTACGTTATCATCGATTGTAAATCTCAGTAGAAAAAAGTGATAAAAAAATATAATTGACTCATTAAAGTTATTTTATTTTATTTCAGTTTTTATGATATAGAAACTTTAGTATTTTTGATTTTGAAATCAAGAGCATTAAAATATATCTTCAATTAAGATAACGTTAACAATAATATCCAGTTAAGCATTTTTCATACAGCTGCAATACAATTATCATTACTATATAAGTATGTAAAGCAATAATTCCCAAAATGGGTGCCATTAAATTTTAGATGTTTGCCATATTTGAGTACCAAAATATTTATTTTTGGAAAATAAACAATATTCTAAAGTGTGTCCTGGGCCATGTCCTATGATAACTAATAAATAATAAGTAATAAGAAGTAATAATAATAATAAAGTGCTGTGATGGAAAAAGATTTTGGGAACCATTGGTTTCAAACAATATGAAAAATATAAATATAAATTTCGAGAAATAGATTTGTCAAATGTCACCATAATAATATAAGAAGCCGTGTCTTCGGTACAGTTAAAGGAATCGCAAAAGTAATATTATTTCAAACAACTTTTTTAGTAATTAATATGATCATAAGTACGATCGATTATCTTTTACAATAAAATTATATTGCATTCTTAGCAATAACTCTGCACTACCAGTGATTTAAAGTAGTGCAGTTCGTAGAATTAGTAGCCCAGAACAGTATATCAAAAAGTCAATCTTTATGTTTAAAGTAATAGACTGATGATTAGTTTTAAGGTAATTTAACTTCTATAAAATGAGTACAATTATTATAAAACAGCAATAATGCCATAACCTATTGCGAAATCCTAAATACAATATTAATTATGGGTAACAAATGTACAATACTATAGCTTGGGACATAATTGTTAACTGCAATGTTGATTTAATATCAAGACAATTTAATGTATAAAGTTTCCAGCACTGAATTTTATAGATTGATTTGATAGTCAAAACATAATGCTTACGGGTGTAATTTACAAAAAAAAACATTTGATTTTTTTTTAAGTACCTATCTACTTTACCATGACTCTATTTCAGTTGAGATAAAAAATAATGTAACAAAGTATATTATAGAGGTATATAATACAATTACAATTATTTTGATACGAATTTTAAAAAAACTGGTGATAATCTTAAATTATTATTTTTTAAATTAAAGGGAAAATGTATACATTTTTTAATACTATAGAATTTCCGGATTATACCGTGGAACGATAATTATTTTGAATATTTGAATCATAAATAATATTGTTCCATTTTGCGATAATGACATAATCATTTTATTAAAACAGAAATTATATCCATCTTCTATGACATTGTCATACAATTCTTATCTTTTTAAAGATTACTAGTCCTCACTAAGACAACTAGGTAGTGTTAACCTAATCTTACCTAACCTAACCCAACCTGACTCCCTGCGTTATGTTAAAAAAGTATAATTTTGATCAAGTATTAACAGCGTTAGATT